ATTGATTTATATACCATAATTTTTGTATCTGTTGATAAGTTATTGGCGATTCTTGAGAAAAAATATAATTTTTTTGCAATCTTTTTTTCAATATATTTGAAGTGGTCGTCGAATGATAAGCAATTATCAAGTTGAAATCCCAAATACTTCACTGATGTTACTATTTCTATACGTTCTTCTTCAGTTTTTATATTTATGTTGTTTGTATTTATTTGATTATATTTGAATTTAGTAGTGATTATCATTGGTTTAGTTTTTTCAACGTTAAGTTTCATTTTCTTGCTTTTCAGATATTTTTCTACTTTCTCTAAAACCTTTTTCATTCTCCAGTACATACAATAAGGTATCATCTGTCAAATAAGTTGATGAACTCACAGTCTGTAAATAATTGTATATCATTCAGATACAGAATGAATAATAGGGGACCAAGCACACTACTTTGTGGTACTCCTGTGTAATTTGTTATATATGATGAGAAATAATCGTTCACACACACACTCTGTTTCCTATTTGATGAATAATTACTTATCCATTCATAACCATCCCCTCAATCCCATATTTTCTCAGCTTCTGAAGCAAAATATTTCTATCAATCGTTTCAAAGGACCTTTTGAAATCTAAAAAGACAGCTACAACATATGTACCTTTATCTGTTTCATTAGTAAATTTATTTAGCGATAACTGTAGTGATGTTTCACAAGAATGTTTTTTCGAAAACCAGATTGATTGATAAACATTATCTGATTTTTGTCAATAAACTCTAATAATTGATTATATACTGCTATTTCTGAAACCTTCACTATTGGCGGTAAGGTATTAATAATAGGTCTAAATTCACTTGCTTTTATAGTGAAACAGAGTTACAAACTCTGTTTCAAATACTTGCTTTAACATTTTAGAATTCAAGGTTTCATGGATACTACATTTATTATCAAATGGTCCAATTATATCATTCAAATCTCTTAAAGTAATCAATCTGAAGGTGCTGAAGGGCAAAGATAAATTATTATTCAAATTGAACCATGGTTCAGAATTCCCAACACCTTGGACTATATGTTGGATGCTGTTTACAAAGTATTTTTTGTTATAATAATACTGAACTTTCTTTATTTTCAATGAGCTAACCACATCGTTTCTCAATTGAAAAATTCTTCACAGAAAATAATCGGAATTACCTTGGAAGCTTAACTTGAATCAGATATAGAAAAATCAGTTCTTCCCCTTCGAATGGAAACAAAAATGAAATGAAATATAACACCTGAATTCCTTTCAAGACCTAGAACAACATAGAACAACTAATTTCTTGACAGCTGACAGAGCGAAATTGAAAATTTCCTCCAGAGTTGAGCTGCTTTGCACTAATTTTGATTTTTAATTTCTTTCCAGCATGTAAATATGTAAGAAAACAATTGAAAAGAATACTTTGTCACACCCACGTACCACTTTCAGTGGATGGTTCTCTTGGGTACACTTCTACAAAAATTTGTAAAAAAATGAATAGAACTAGAGAAACATCTGGAAATCACTTGCAGCAGGCCGCATACACCATCCAAGAAAACCCACACTATAATATTATTGTGCAGTGACTTTCATGTTTAGTAAGATCATATTTATGTGTGGTATGTATAACAAAAATTATATTAATTTGCTTTAGATTGGGAAGCAGTTTTTGTAAACAATTGTCACAAAAAACCACCATTTTAGAATTTTTGTTCGCTATAAAATTATTCGAATGAAGTTTGTGACTTCGGGCAATTTGTGAGAATCCAAACAAATGGAGTTGTTTTGAAATTTTTTCGTTTATCTCAATTCATTGTCTTTTTTTACAGCCTGTTGAATTTTCTGATTTAGAAAACTTCATATCTCAATAGAATGTGAAATGTCTGCCTTACTCATGCTACCCCAATATATAATGTAGTCCTGTCAATTTTGAGCATATAAAATAGATTATATGTGTTACTTTGTTCGGCCAAATGTTGAAAAAATATATAGTTGACAGAGAAACAAAAATAATAAATTCTGTCGAGTATTCCCAATATCCTAACTAATAAATGATGACACTTAAAGACTTTTCATTATGCGAAACATTTTTTTTTTCCAATATCCAAACTTTAGGGGGTGCCAATACACTTTCATTATTAAAATTTCTTTCTACGTGCATAGAAGAATAGCCATACTGATGACATAGTTTGCCATCCACGGAATTTATCCTTCACAGTATTCTCTTTCTAATATAGTTATTTACTAAGTGCAATGTGAATCTGACTTAATAGCCAGTCCACAATCTTGATGATTTTATTTTTCAGGGCCTGTGAAGAAAAATTGAAAATCTGTTCAACCACTCAAAAAACACACTTACCCCATAAGTGATTGCTCGCTGAAAATACTGGTCATAACCTTGCTGATCTTTCTGGTATTCTCGATCTGCTTCCTTTCGTTGTCTTTTTCAAGCTTCTCTAATGCTTCTCTCAAATTAGACTGATTCTCTGCCTTGGTTTCCTTTATCTCTTTCTGCAATTTCATTTTATTAGTGACGAATTCCTGCTCTCTCTTCTTCTCTGCAATTTGAAGAACTTTCAAATCCGTTTTCAAGTTTTTGATTTGATCCAGACGCTCTTCTACAAAGTCCCTCACGTCGGCGTACGTTAGTAGTTGATTGATTAGACATGAAATGATAGAAAGCTTATCGGCAATGGGAAGTTGGACGACGTTGTGGTACGCCAATGCTTTGAGGATGTGAGGCTGATTTAGTCGAAGAAAGATTCCAGGGTCATCTTCGCTGGTGTAGCCACCTCTTTGTGCGTACCTGAATTGAACAAACAGGTATAAGAAATTATTTCTCACAACTTTGTCATAACAATTCAATCAACAGAGCACAGGTTTCCTACTTGAAGAAAATGATCAACACTTTCAAAATGCAAGGCTGACGAATTCTCAAAACTAAACAAAAGGACTTAAAAATATTGTGTTTTCACGGTGTGAATGTTTTAGTCATATAGAGTGCCATTGTATGTATAACTCAACCGTTAACAGATACTATCAACACTTGTCTAAGTTACATCAGAACAATTTTTTTGACAGATAGGAATACTGCCAACCTTTTAAAAGATTTTCGAACACATAATTTACAAACAAATAGTAAAATAACTTGATATAAATAATCTTCTGAGTCTTCATCACACATAGTATCAGACGCCTTTGATAACCAAGAAAAATATGTGAGCGTTTTCACAGACCTTACTTCAGCATTCGATTCTGTAAATCACTCGATTTTATTGGCCAAATTAGATTTCTACGGAGTGAGAGGTATCTGCCTGGACATGATGAAGTCATACCTTAATGAAAGATATCAAATTGTTGATCTAGGAAATACCAAAAGTAAAAGAAGAAAAATATTAAGAGGAGTGCCACAGGGGTCAATATTGGGGGCACTTCTGTTTCTAATCTATATCAAAGGCCTGCTTCACGTGATTAACTCGTCAGACATAGAAACTATATTGTATCCTCATATGATCCATACTGACATATTAGAGAAAGCTCGATCATGGTTCACACCAAATGACTTGATTCTCAATGAACAAAAAACAGAAACTCTAATTTTTGAAACAATTTGCTTAAATCGAGATAACAAAAATTCTACCAAATTTTTGGGAGTACAAATAGATTCGAACCTGAAATGGATATACCATATAAATAGCATGTGTAGTAAACTCAGTAAGACAGTTTTTGCTGTCAGAAGAATTAAAAAAATAGTAAATCAAAGTGCGGCACTTGCAACATATCATTCAGTTTTTCATTCAGTCCTTAGGTATGGTATAATCAATTGGAATAATGCATCAAAGATACATCTTAATAGAATATTTGTCATTCAAAAATCTGCAGTAAGAAGCATAATATCTGCCAATTATGATGAAAAGTGTCAACCAATATTTGTAAAATTTAAAATGAAGACCCTATATTCAGTTATTGTCTATGAAAATCTGCTGTTCAACAAAACTTGATGAATAAAGTTGCTCACAAGGATATACACCAACATGATACAAGAAATAAATCAAACCTTGTTCCTACAGCTAATAGGTTGAAAAGAACAGATAATATAGGAATTAAGATGTACAATGCCTTATCTGTCAAATTTCGTAACTTGCCATTTAGAAGATTCAAAAACTTATTGAAGAAAATATTAACCAAACATCCTTTATATGAACTTGATCAATTTTTCGAAGTTATTCAAGAAGAAAGAGACACTTTTGTGGTCACATCCAGAACTTTTACTCAACTTTGATTATATATAATATGTTAGCTATGTGATTTATAATTTGTAAAAGTTCATGGCTTTACATTTTAGTCAATTTTTATAAGAATGGAATTTTACCTTGTCAACTTGTATTTTTTTGTAAATCTAATTTATCTACAAGCATTTTTTATAAACTATATTGACGAATCTTATCCTCTCAAATCTATTTTAGAAATTCTATTGACGTGTCTAAAAGCTGTGTGTTTCTTGAGACCAATAAAATTATTATTATTATTGTTTGTGTTTTTCTATAAAAACGTTATATAGCTTTAATACGTATGTCATTTGCATGTTAACATACGTGGACTATTCAAAAAAAAAATTAAACGTCAAATTTCGCTGGCTACGTACATTTGATTAGAGATGTTTTAAATTTTTTCATGTTTGTACACTCGTCTCGAACATATATTCACAGTTTCAGCATGTTCAGTTTGTTTAAGAGGCCGTGTTCGGCGATTTTCTTGTATCGAAAAAAAAAATGGATCAAAGATCAAATTTTGTGTAAAACATGGAGTCAAGTGCTCAAAAACACTTGAAATGTTGACAGTGACATATGTTGATTGTACTCTTGAGTCGGAAAAATGTTAACAACTGGTACAAGCTTTTCACAGAAGGCCAAGAAGATGAGAATGACGAAGCTCGCCCTGGATGCCCCAGCGCATCAACAACCAATAATAATGTTGAGAAAGTAAAGAAAATCGTCAAAAGTACAGAATTTTGACCAATAAACTGTCGCATGAACATCACTCAGGAAATGTTGAATGACGGCAACGGCGATCCAGATTTGCTCAAACAGGCCAAAACTGGTGACGAATCATGGGTGTATGGTTATGACATTGAGACCAAAGTCCAATCGTCCCAATGGAAAAGTCAAGAGCCAAGACCAAAAAAGCACATCAAGTTCAATCAGATGTCAAGATTATGCTCAGTTTTCTTTGATTACAGTGGCGTTGTGCATCAGGAGATCTTTCTTGCCACATGGTCATACGGTTTCTTCATACCAAGGTCTATAAAAGCGGAAAATAAAACAGATTCTGATTTCTTTAATTCTGCATCAGAGTTTGAAAAGCTGCTGAATTCGGAGAGGCATCAGCAATCAAAACATCTGAGGTATCTTTAGTTTGTAAGCACATGTACAATTTATATAAAGATATTTGTAAAAATTGGCTTGTCCGTTGAAATAAATAAATAAAATTCTGTGATATATTTTCCTCCATACATATTTCTGATTATTATGATTGTAATTTCAAACACTGAACTTTTATATATTGTTTTTAGTATTAATAATACTAATAATAGTCACTTAAAAACCATTTACAGGGTTAACTAAGTATGTTAAAAAGTAATATAGGTGCTTTTAACTACAAATTTACAATTTAAGAAAATTAAGAACAAAAAATATAAAAAAATAAAATAAAAAACAAATTATACCAGAAATTGAAATTTCTCCATGAAAAACTGAGATGCAGTTTCAACAATATATTCTAGGAAATCAAAACTGATACTACATACATTTTAAATTATTGCAAATACTAAAGATACGTGGTTATGTTAGGTTAGGTCCAAAGTGAGTGAATCTATTCGACCCTCCAGCGCAATCCGCAAGGGTTTATTGTGGCTCACACCTATTCACACTCGACCAAATAAACCCAGCTTCTTAACGAAGCCGATTAGTTTGTATGGTGAGTGGTCTTTCAGATCAGAGGGTAATAGTACGGATCTGCCAACTCTAAAAACTTGAGTCGTCCCCAGTAAGGCAGGTACAAAGTATGTGCCCTGCCGTTTCATCATTTTCCAAACAGAAGCGACACACACTGTCTTCCGACAGTCCAAATCTCTGCATATGGTGATTCAAATGACAGTGACCTGTAAGAAGGCCTATTAGACATCATAGTTCATCCCTACTGTAGTCCAACAACCGTTTGGTTAAATAAACGCCTTGTGAGCCAATCCTGGAAGATTCTGCCAGAAGTCCATAAATCTTCTTGCCATCCAGGTGTTCAACATTGAGACAATCTGTAAGTCTTCCTATCTAGGAGAGTTGTTTTTCGCAATTTGCTACCAATTAAAAAAGATAGGTCACTTGAAGTACAAATTGGTTCTGGCCAGTAGGCAGTAAAAAGTTTTTGTACTTCTAGTTCTAAAATGAAACACACAGAAGTTCATGAGAAATAACACCTCCAAAGCATCCACATTGCTGTGCAATAGTTTACATAAAAAAAATCTCTATATTTTATCATTCTTTTTTTTTGTACTCCTAATAAATGTATTGATTAAAATTAGTTTGCAACCGTTGACTAAATAAATAAATTTTCACAATACAGTTTACTTTTTTTATAGTAAAACAAGTGTTACTGTTTTGTGAACTGTTTGGTAAAAATCTCACAATGAAGTGGTACTTGAATATTTTATCATGGAGTTTCATCAAGTATCACCCAATTTTATCAGATATTGTAATCATTCCAATGAAGTCTGTTAAATTAGGAAACTCACCTCCATCTAGCTCCAGTTTCATTGATGCGTGCTCCTGAAGCTAGTAGATGTAACCGCAATACCTCAGACACAGTAACAGAGTAAAGGGGAAGACGTGCCAGTGGAAGGCCTTGATATTTGTTACTCCAGCTGGATGCCACGGTAGCGAAGCGGGTCGCATCCGTCAAGCTTAAGTTATTCGAAACATCTTCTTCTTTTATTCCTTGAGCAAAAATACATATTGAGACATTCATTTCCTAACCAATTCTTAAATCAAAGTACAGTGTTATTGTTTCTTTGACACCATCACTAACCTGTTGTACTTTCTATGACCGTCCTATACTGATTAGACTCCTCATCTTGAACATTGAACAGGGCAGTGAGAAACATCTGAAAAATGTCAGTGAGTGGACCAGCCACCTCTTTTTCTGTTAACGCTCGCTCCATGAGTTCCAAGGTGAAACCGCCAGGAAAAAAGTCTTTCGTTGACAAGAACTTTGAGAATGTTTCCATAAACTCCATTACCATCAGCATTTCTCCAAAATACTTGTCAGATACTTTTGTTTTGACTGGCATGGGAACAGGTAGTTTCTGTTGAAAAAATGTTAAAAATTACAATTCTTGCAGGGACCTTTTTAAAAATAATAGAATCCTCAGTTATTTCGATCTTCATTTTAGAAACCACTTGCTTAATACACAAGAATAGTAACAAATATATTACAGTGCGATCATTGCAAAACTTGAGATTACCTTTAACTCTATCAAAAAACCAATCTCGTTGAGGAATCTCTCTTTTATAATGGTCTAAAAATTTATAATTTTTACCACTTAGCTTAAGGGAAATTGAATCTTTAGGAGTGTTTAAAAAAAAAGGTTAAAGAAATGCTATTCACTCGTCCATTCTACAATATGGAGGAATTTTTTAGTAGTGAACCTTTTTGTTGCCATTAAAATATGCTGGTCTAATTATTAGGATTGATTTCCATATGTATTCATCATGTTGCGGTACCTACTTATTCGTTTTACCAGCTAGCACTTAGCTTGTATATTTTACTGACACTTATTTTATTATCAATTTATTAATAACAATTTAATGAAATTATAAAACAGCAATAAAAATTAATGGGCGCTCCGGGGCGAATTCATTGATTCCAAGTCTGTATCAGTACCATTTTATTGTTTTCAACATTTCAACATGTTTTACCTATACAATGACTTTGTCGATAAGAACGGTTTCTTCTGACATTAAAGCATATTTGATTGATTGATTAAATATTCTTCATTGAAAACAATATGATAAATGATTTGCTATTTGAATTTGAAAGTGATGGAAATGAGAATGAAAATAGATCAAGATCTTAAGCATGGTATGAAGAAAAACTTGTTTTACAAATAATTCTAACAGGATTGATGTACTGGGTATCGAGAAGTACTTGACTTGAATTACGTTAAGTACTTTCAAGTGTAAAATATTAGTACTGGTACTTGAAATCTAAAAACTTATACAAGAATTATTGGTGCAGAATAAAATTTATACTTGTCAGTATTGAAAATAGTTCTTGCACTCAATATACTTACAAAGAGTTTCTTCAAAGTACAACCACTTAAGTACAAGTACAAGTTTTAATACTCAGTTCCTGAAACTTATATATTTGTTTTTTCGAAAAGAAAGTTTTTGGCTTTCTACTACTCCAAAAACTTTCTTTCCCAAAAATTAATCACCCCTAAAAATATAACCCCTTCAATTATATATTTGGTATTCAATACTCAAATTTATTGGAAAAATCAAGAATAATTGGTCCTGGGATCTTCTGAAATATATCTTCTGCTACTGAAGTACTTTTGTTCAGTTCGTATAGCCACTGTCTTTCAAAAACACTAATTATAAACTAAAAAATTAACTAATACTCGAATTAATAACCTTTAACAATCGTTAATGAACTGTGAAATCAAAAATAAATATTTTCGTAAATTTTCATCTGCACATTCATTCAAATAAAGTTTCGGAAACACTTTGTTATATTGAATGGGAATTATCATAGAGCAGCAAAATCTAATTATTAGCCTTAATACAATGAATGGGCATATTCTTCTAGTACTATATAAACAAATGGGCATATTCTTTCAGTACTATATTTTGAAACAATTTAAAAGAAAAATTGCAAATGTAAGAACAGCATGAATGGCGATAAGGGACCCATCCCGTTTAGCCCACTTTTAATCTTCTGTTAGGAAGAGAATAATTACTAAGAACTTGCAGGTAGTTAATTACTAACTAAATCATTTCCTCAATAAATATGTCATTCTAATTTTTACCACTTTCCGATTAATATTTTATAACATTATACTGTCATATTTTATCCATCGAAAAGAACAGTGGAAAAAACTACTAAAAGTATTTGTCAAAGAATTACATTTTATACAAGTTAAAGAAAATAGTGATACTTTGAATTGTATGAAAATCAATATCAAGTGCAATTGTTTCCTAATTTAAAACTATCAGTGATGAATCTCACCTTTTGATCTTCAAGCATCAAATCCTCTTTTGGTTTGGACCACTCCCTTATGCAACTGTTCAACTTTACACTTTCCTGTTTCTGTTTTTTCTTCAGAGCCAGCTTTTCCTCTTCTTTCAAGAGCTTCTTCAACCTGAACTCTTCTTCCCTCTTCTTCATTTCTTCTAAGAGATTGACTCTCTTTTCAGAGCTAGTCTGTTTGTCTGTCGTGGAAGCACCATTAGGTTTAGTCAGAAATTTTGCAAGAGTTTCTTGTTTGGATTTCTTCTTGCCATTTGGAACCTTCTCTTTTTTTTTCGACTGTTCAAAATTAGGTAGAGGTCCATCAAATATCTGGTCAAACTTCATTTTGTTAATGCCAAAATCTTCTATTATGGAGGGTTTGATTGCAAATATGCCATTGGGGCCATGTTCGATATACTGTTTTAGGAATAATTTACACTTATCTCTGTTGAAGGACCCTTTCTTTCGTCTTATCTGATTGCAGTCTACTATCATTATTTCGCTGATGTCATTATCATCGGCATCTAGATGTTCCAATTCATATTTGAACAAGCTAGCAGGTGGCCAAAATAGACGGTCGGGATCATTCCTTAAAAAAATTATTATTGGAGAAGAAAGTTGAATGTGATGAATGAAATATAATGATAGGTAGATACTTATAGGATATTCACGTTAAGAAGAGAATGACGTAATTTTTGGTAATTTTGTATATCCGACATAACAAAGTTAAAATTTCCAATAAAATGCATTCAATAGCAATGAAACTAGTAAAATTTCATTTTGTAAGTTGCTCAACTGATAGTAAAATTTTCAGAAGTTGCCGAATCAAAAAAAAAAAAATCAAAAATTGTCAGAACTAAACAATTATCAGTTTTTGTTTATAACTATTAGCAATAACATATTGAATATGTGACAGTTTTCCATGTATACATTTCATGTAATACTAACCACATCATTGTGGCTTTTCAACAAAATAATATTGAATCTGGAATTACAGTAGGGTTTAATCTATGGAATAAATCAAATGATATAATCGAGTTTCAGTGGGGTTGTTCTGCAAAAAAAAAACTACAAAAATTGTTACAGCACATAGGAACAAATTTGATGTAAAATTTACAAGCAGAATAATCCTGCAGAATCAAACAACTTACCCATTTTTAGTGATATTTTTAAGTTGATCTTCTTGTGGAGCGATAACCTGTAGAACATGCGAGTCTTTCCATTTTGAACCAGTAAAAGAAGTTTCCAAGTTTTCTCCAATAAAATAGCGATCTTTAACGAACATGAATACATCTTCGGCCATTTCTCCAAAGGAATTCCTTTGAGTTTTACTAGCTAGATACAAAATAGGTAGTCGTAGTTCCATAGGAAATTCTTTTAGGCTCTGCTTGGCATTTTCCTCGCTCTCCAGGGCTTCTTGATATGTTAAATTTTGTTTTCCAGTCATTGAACATGTCCAAACCATCGAGTTGTATAAAAACATTCTTTCGGAAAATTCTCTAAAAAAGAAATCAACATTAGATAACATTAGGTAAATAATTTTCAGTCTCTTTAATATAACCTATAAATGTTTTTATCTCTAATCATGGAAAGAATTTCATGAAATGAAAAGTATAAAATGACAAAGAGAAATTAAAGCAACCGTTATGTTTCCCACCAGTAATGTTGAATAAATTTTATGTTATAATGTGAAGAACTGGAAAATACTTACTCATAATCACGAAATATTTCGTCGGTAATTTCGCAATAAAATACTTCCTCATCATCTCTTAGATATTCTGATATTGAATGCTTTTCGAACGGTTTTTTTTTCAAAAGAGGCATATCTGAGGTTGGAACACAGGCGAATGGCAATAGTAGGTAGGATAGATTATTTGGAGGGAAACTATCAAACCACTAAATTACATTAGATAGATTGCACTGTTTCACTATTATTGAAAAATCAAATATTATATTAAAAATCGTTTTTCACCGGATCAGCGTTATTTGCACCAATTCATTGAAAGCTTCAACAACTCGCCTCTAAACCAGCTCGTCTTGTCACCATTTAATTTAGATGCGCCAAGCCGTAACTTAAATGGTTGACTTAAGGTCGAAATTACTTTTGAGTTTTCATAGATTTCCCTGTAATGATACTTTGAGACAGCAGTGGATAAGTTTTGACCGGAAATTAGGTAACCCTCAAAGGGATACGAGGGAACCCTCAAAGTGATCTACTTCAAAATAAACTCTTCACATAGATGTACCGAATTTCTTTCAACTATTCCCAAAACCCATAGAACACTAGAATTACAAAAATATCACATTTTCCTGGTTGGTTTGTACTCAAAATATTCCTTATGGAACAGGAAGCAACGTAATATATGAAACAGTAACATTTTGAAAATTCTATCACATGGAAATTCATTTTTTGTCATCAAATGTTATTATAGTGAATTGTATATTTTCGCCCTGTCTTCATTTTGAGAATGTGTTGAATGAAATGAGTGGAATATATACATGTATTGATATTTTTATACTGAATATAATTGTCACGTTATGGCCAAGACGTTGTGTGATCCGCAGGTGGAATATATGTAGAAGTGACGTCACGCCCAAACCATATAATATCTATATCATCATGTCTCTATTCTATGGTTGAAGTAAACTTATGACATAAGATAGTTCTGTATCTCTAACCTCAATATAACCCTATTGAAATAAAAAGAAAACCGATAGAAATACAAATGATACATTAAACTTGTAACAATTACTTGTATATTTACTCAATTTTTATTTCTTTTTGAAATACCCCGTAAAACTTAAAACAGTTATGTCCGCTTTGAAACGGGTTCAAGTGAGTATCAATTAAAGTGCCTTTTTCTGCCAACTAAATTTTATTTTTTAGCAATGGGCTACATTTGCACGGATCTGGCATATATATGATGCAGCCTGGCAAAATCCCCTCAGTTCTGCAGATTATCTGAAAATTTATTTGATGGGAGCTCATAAACCTATTTATCATCCAATGAGTAAGATTTAGTTTCTCAAAGTAGCTACATAACATTAAGAAAATTATGTTTGCCTGCAATAATTTACGATTTTTGCAGACGATTGTGGAGACCATGTTATAGTTATAAATACTGCAGACATTGCTTTACCTGGGGATGAATGGAAGAAAAGAGTATATTTTCATCATACAGGATACCCGGGTGGAGCTACTTGGACATTGGCATGGGAGTTGCATAACAAGGACCCAACAATGGTGAGATATGTTGTTCAAAATACAGTGCTAACGCAAAAAGTCTTTCCCATCTTCATCTTTTGAACAGTTTATGTTGAAAGAAATAATTATTAGTACTTTTCATTTGAGTAACACTTTATTGTGTTGTGGTTTCGTAATCTGTCACAATAAGTTTCTTGAATATAGTTATGGATTTTCATCAAGTATCGGTAAATTCCAACACATGATTTAGTACTTATGATGCACTGTTTGGAATCTTTGGTGTAGTAATGAATATTACTGGAGTTTTTTTCCAACACCAAATCGTAATTTTTAACACCTCGACACGTGTTTCGATCACCAAGTGATCATCTTCAAGAGAAAAATTAAACACAGTTATACTTGAATCTTGTGTTGGGAAAAATCTCCAGTAATATTCATTACTAAACTAAGTTTAATCTTCCTCTTGAAGATGATCACTTGGTGATCGAAACACATGTCGAGGTGTTAAAAATAACGATTTGGTGTTGGGAAAAAACTCTAGTAATATACATGATTTAGTACTTTTTTAATAAGAATAGTGTGGCATTACTCATCACACACAGGCCATTTCTGAGTAACTATCAACTGATATATAAAATTAATGAATTCATCTAGTGGTGAGCGCAAATTTCCAAACATTTTTTTTCCGTGGTATAAGTTTTGAAATAGCTTAACAGACGATTTACATCCAAAGTCCTGCACTTCGTGCTGAAAGAATGACACACATAACATGTATGCACTTGAAGAGCTTTTTTAAACATGTATCCACAAACGTAAATGAATGAATTCTGAGTACATATATCTTCATTTTTATAATCATAATCCGGAAGGGCAAGGGCTGGAGAAAAGTGATTCTCATCTGATATAAATATGTCATTTACGTTTGTGGATTGTATACTGATTAATAAATCATATAAATCATTCTTACAATTCATATGATTGGAATGAAAATAATTTTGGCAAAACAACTTCCGGAATGCCCTTTGAAATTGTATGGGGGTCGGATTAACATTATTTCCGCATTGTTGTCTTACAGCACCAAATAAATTTTCAAGACAATCTGAATTGAGTCGTCTCGTTTTTAAATATTTATAATTTGATTTGGAAAGCTCATCCCATATTTTAATTACACTATTCATGGAAATAATCCAACATTTTCTAAATATGACTCGATTTGTGACATTTTTGTCCTCTGAATTGAAAATTTCAAGATTTTTCAAAAACGTTAGAGTCTCTTCAAAAAAATCTAATTGGAATTTCGAACCTTCTAAAACGTTTTTGTATTTATAGGAATGTCGTAAAGAACACGAATTCAACAAATCAAAAAGGTTATTGAATGTCTCTATTACGTGCATTGTACCAAAAGAAGAAGCAGGAAGTAAGTTTATTGCCACGAATGCATTCATTCCACTGGCAACTGTAAGGCTTAGAACTTATGTTGCTAGACTCACTTTCATTTTTCAAAATTGTTTGGATTGATATGTGATTTGGTAAGATTTGGTGCGAATCTATAAAATTGCCCTATGTCTTGCTCATAAAAAGAGCAAACAAAAGAACAAGATGTACTTTTGCCTTCAAAATAAAATGAATGTTTTAAAAAATTGTTTTTAGTGGCTTTTATCCAATACAAAAAAAGATTGGATTTTAAAGCCATATCTCATCTATAGATATCACACATCGCTTATCCTGTTCGAGCATTGTTTTAATTTTAATTTCAAATGCCTTGAATATTGCTGAATTTTCTACTGTTTTTCTCACGATAGATTCTTCAAAACTAATTATCTCCTGAAAACTCTTGCTTCAATAGCATAATTTTAATGTATACCGAGTTAGGTAGGTACCTTTTGTAACTAACTACCTATCTCATTATGTTTGCTTAGTGCTCACAGACTAATGGAGACAACTAATCCCGAGAATGACGTGGAGACAACCAAGTCGACGCATGCGTCTACGAAAAAGGGACACAAAATGGCCGTCTTTGTCGGATAGGTATTCTCGGGTTAAGTTGATGTTGGTGCCATGTTGCCAATGTTATGAAGATTACATAAATGATAAAGTTTCTAGTAAAAGTAAATAAAGTAAACGTGGTTTTCTAAAAGTAAAATTAATTCTGTTTTGAAAACATACAGCGAGTCTATAATCCAAGAGTTCTATATAATATAATTTATGATTCACACCGAAAATTGACGCGTTCGATAGATAGTATCGTTTAAAGATTTCCATTCAAATGATTTCATCGAATAATTTTTAAAATTTTGATCTCGAAGAAGCGGGACGTTGTAAAGATGACCTGTAGGGTCAACCAATTTCGGAATTTTTTTACTTATTTTATTTCTCTCCAACCCATGGTTACAGATTATAAATCACACATTAAAAAAAGTATTGCTACCGAAATGCTCGATCAAAAGTTGCAGACCAGTAAAAAATCTTTATTGTGGCGAGCCCTCTTCTGTGGAAACCCCGGGGTAGTAGCCCTGCCTGCCTTCTCCTGTTCATACATCTATTCATTACTATACTGCAATATATGCTGCAACATGTATCAATGTATCATAGCGAATAAAGCTTAGACAAGAGAATTTTTTGTCTAACGAATAAAGACTGTTTTAGTATTTGTTGTTTGTAAGTGGTTTTCTTTATATACATTTAATCGTCCTTATCAACAAGCATTTTGTTTGCAGCACCCATATTTTTCATGTTAACTACTTTTTGTGTATTTGTCATTAGTGTCAGTTGTCATACATGCATTTGATATTTATTATGAATTGAAAAAGGAAATATTTTTAAGAGATTAGGTTTATGGAAAAACATTTTTTGGCTTTCCACTTCTCCATCATTTAACAAAAATATATTTAGTGCGAACAAAACGCATCTTGAGTAATAAATACCTACGATCTACGATTTCTGTAATGACATTGTCAATTGTCAGCGTTCAATGTGAATTTTGAATTTGTCATTGTCAAATGTAAATATTTTTATTGGATGTGTAAACAGTGTTGAAATTGATTGGATTTCTGGAAGATTAACAAATGCACGAATAATTACTTCTAGATCATTCCAAACAGACAGAACTGTCCAGAGTCCAGATAGTAAGATGTATAAAAGTAAAAGAGGTCCCATGAATCGACCACCCAGTGGCCTAATAGACTCTGAATTTTATACAGGATTTCGATCTGATATCGAAAATGAATCTGTTTCCCCTGCGTATAAATTACGTTTATTTGCATTGTTCAGACAGATAGAAAAAGAATTCGATTTATTGTATCAAGAGAACCAAAACTGTGAGTTACTCTTACTAGTGTCTGCAATAGAAGAGACATTCAATTTGTTATATTTCAGTACATGATAAGATCGATTTGTTGAATGAGAAGCTGGAGAGAGATACATTCGATAAGCCAGATTGTGTAGATTTTGATGCAAACCTATCCAAGGCATTGACCAAGAAATGTAATACATCCCAAACTGATTCTAGCACAATGAAACTTTGAGTGTTATTATATATTTTTAAGTACAACAGACTCCTTAGATATTGAAATTCATGTTGAATACATCAATTCTAGTTCCAATTTAAAATGTTTATGACTAGTAGCAAGATGGTTAGGAGCAATTAACTTTCCAGTAGCCACACCAATTTTTTTTAAAGGTAGTCGCTCTGGTCTGTCAGGTTGGAGTTCAGTAATTCATTCATTTTTAATTAAATTCATCTCCTAAATTTGCCAACTTGGTTGATTAAATATGTATCGAGAAAAGTGTGCTTGTTTGGAATTTATTCTTTGCCAGAGGTTTCAGTTATATTTTTCATTTTAGAATAATTCCATTTCTTATCACTTATTACCCATTATAACAAAAGCTTGATAATCTCTTGTTCTTTTTTGTAATTAAATTTATCTCAAACAGATTGCAAATGAGTAAGGCAAAAATCTACATGAAATACCTGTTGAGAAAAAAAATTATTGCATTATTTGCCACCTTGGTCTCACAGACCAGTTTTCTTTATAGTTACTCATGAACCACTGATAAAAGTGACTCTGAAGTGTTGTAAGGAATAGTTAGAAAGGTACTAATCACAAGAGCTTACTATCCCTTCGAATTTTCATAGTCATAAAAACAGTGTCAACCTACCTGACAAACCATGCTTAACTTCTGGAAGGTAAATAATGCGAAGTCACGAATAAGTCACCTAGATGAGCATTGGTTTTTACTACAATTTTCCATATCAGAGGATTAGATTTCCTAAAAAAACTTTATTTTTAGTAAGTTCATCAAGCCAGAAAAATAAAACTGCTCACAAACTCAGAGCGCAGACAAGCAAAATTGTATCCAGTTTCAAGGCTCCTCATTTTGCCTGTGGACTTATTAAAGAATATGTTGGACACAAAGATGGAATATGGGAAGTATCAGTTGCACGCCCAGGAGTTCCTGTGATGGGAACAGCTTCAGCTGGTAAATTATTAACATTTATTAATTAAGGAAAGTTTATTTGCGGGAGTTTCCTATTTGAATAAAGGTCCATTCTTTGCATGTAGAGAGTTACAACTACTTCTATTAGTTGCCACATACAGTGGTAATATTTTTCAATGTATTCATAAATAACATAGGTCCTGCATATCTAATGGTACAATTCTTATATTTGCCAACAATCATGAGCTATTTTCTGAGATTACATCTTGTTCTGATGGCCTAAATTTCCCAAAGTTATTTGGACAGTATTGCTAACTGGTACTGCACAAACGGTATGTACATGAATATCGATAAATGTCATGAGATTTCATTGTTTTGAAACGTCACTTATCTTTGATAATAACTTGGTATTGAACTCAGTATCCAACATCAGAGATCTAGGTGTCATCTTCAAAACTAATTTGAGTTTCAATATCACAAAACAGGCTCTTGAATTTCTGAGATTCATATCAAAAACCTGGAAGGCACTTTACAATATTCACTAAATATTATGTATGTTAATTAGAAGGCCCGTATTTACCTTGACTACAAGTCCTGTGAACATCACAACAACCTGCTCCCACTTTACTACTTGGAAAATGTAAAAATTGAAATTTTGGAGAAAAACAAATTTTTAGGGCTCTTCATTGATGAAAATCTGAAATTTGATTCCCATGTCGACTACTTATGTAAAAGACTAGCAGCAGGATGTCATGCAGTGAAAGTTGTTGCAAGAGAGTTAGACACTACTGTCACAAGATCAGTTTATTTTGCACAAATTGAGTCCTATTTACGTTATGGAATTTGTTTCTGGGGAAATTGTGCACAATTTGGTTTCAATATGGTATTCTCTCTACAAAAAAGATCCATCAGATATTTATGCAAGACTAGCTATACAGGGATTCATGCAAAAGCAAAAAATTCTGACCTTAATATGTCTTATTATCTTGGAAATAGTGTGTCTTATCCACAAAAAATATAAAAGTCAATTTAATACCATCTCAACTTAGTACACGTCAGTCTTACTTCATTTTCCTTCCAACACCTACTCTAGCCCCTACAAATTTTTTTATTATTTTCAATAGCAAGAAGTTATTTAATCACCTTCCCATTAATCTAAGACGAATATATAGTGAAAAGAAATTCAGAAAGAATTTAAAAGAATTCCTTGTTGGGAGGCCCTATTATAGTGTGAACGAATTCTACCAAGGCTCTATCGAGTAATTGGCATGTAGCTTTGTGTAAACAAGTTATTGAAATTAACACAAAATAGCTATCAATGTTCATTACGTAGCATTGTATATTTACATTTACTCAATATTCATATATTTATGTACTTATATGTGTATCTGTTCAGCTGAGCTTAATATTGTTCTGTCCATATACTCTGTTCTTGTCTCTAAGCATTATTTTATAGTTTATATTTGTTAATTGTCCCATATACACGTTTTACTTTAGAGCAGGGGAGCCCACGATGCAAAATGGGGATTTACTTGAGCGAGCGAGGTTGTAAAGCTTAGATGATAGGATTTTTAAATATGTAAAAAAATACTGTTGCATGGACATACTCGAGTATCCCTCACAGGCGGCCTTATATATGGGGCTCATATTTGGTGGTACTTAACCGAGTACAAGGTATCCCCTCGTATATTAATCTGCCGCGCTTCAATACATCCCGAAATCCCCGCTTGGGCTCCTCTATTATTACTAGACTTTGCCAATAAGATGTTCAAATCTTGGGTAATAAAGCATATTTTGATTTGATTTGATTTGATAACACTTCAATTTGTTTTTTCAATATTGGAATGTAGGCTTTCACGGCTGGCGTCAATGATTTGGTTGGTTTCAGGTTTTGCCGTGGTCTTCTTTGGTTACAACCTCCAAACGTTTCATCTGCAACTGCGGCAGTCATCTTCAGTGGCGTGGTCGAAGTACTGTTCTTGGCGTATCTACTGTTTCAACTGTATCAACAAGTTTCATTTGATACAGTGGCACTTCGACCGTGCCACTGAAGATGACTACCGCAGTTGCAGTCGAAACTTTTGGAGATTGTAACCAAAGAAGACCACGGCGAAACCCAGAAACCAACCAAAACACTTTTTTTATCAATACTGAATTGCTTTGTTTTATTCAATTTAACCCTGTTGGTGTTTAAGATTAGCTCGTAGTATTTTGTAAATTCATTTTACTGAATTGGGATTCTCTCATGAATAAATAATGTGTTTTCTTTATTGAAACTTATTTTGTAGATCATACTGCTTGCTTATGGAGTATAGAGAGCTCCAAGTGTCTTTTGCAATATCAGGGTCATGCTGGATCAGTAAATTCTATCAGGTTCCATCCTTCTAAAGATCTTGTTCTAACTGGCAGTGGTGACTCGTCCGCTCATATTTGGCAAGCAGCATTGAATTGGGATATACCAGTAAGTTAGATTGTGAATTTTACCAAAATAACTTGATATTCAAACATAGGGCCTCATACTTTTATATTAATTGAGAATTGTTATATCCAGTTTGTTTTTGGATGTAATTCACAGTTTTCATGCACACTCAGCAAAAAGTAACTTCCACTCAAGAGCAAGGAAATGATTGTATAAAAAATATTTCGGCCATTCATTACTATATTTCAGAGATTTAACACTCACATAATTTTGCATCGTTAATTATTAGGCCACTGCAATGAAGTGTGAAGTTTTCATCAAATCCTAATATTGCTTGTTTCAAAAGTTTTGTCCGTTTTTATGAATCTACTTTTAACTGTAATAATTCGGTGAATACTCATTCTATTTAATTTAATTAAGAGTTATTTGAATCAGCACACTTTTGCTAACGAAACAAGTCGATTGATTCCGTCAGCATAAAAATTACGTGCTCGGGATTCGATGAAGTCGACGAAGACCGTTTTTGTCTGGTCCTGATTCGCGAAGGTCCTACCGGTGAGAAAATTTATTTATTTATTTACGGCAATGCCTATTTTTTACAAGATAATTAACAAGTTCACACATATGTATTTAACAGTAATATAAGCTAGGTTTAAGGAAAAAATATATGAAATACAATAAAATAAAAAAATCGTAAAAATAATGAATTACCATTTTGTTTTATAATTTCATGATTTGTATTGAAAATGTATTTTTCTGAAATACAATTTCGTAGTTATTAAATGCACAATTTAGTTAAGGTACTCAATTGGATAAGGATTAATGCTGTATTGCTTGAAATCGCTTCATAAAAAAGTAGAGGACAAAAAATGGTTATCGTGGGTTATCTCTAAGAGATAGGACTTATACTATCACAGACTTTTTTGTAGACCTTTATAAGGTGTAGTACATTATTTTGATCTATCTCGTAGGGTTCAACCAGCGTTTGCAATGTAAGTGCCAAAAAATGTGTTCATTTACGACATCACATTGGAAACCGCTAAAATTATCAGTGTTTCTCTACTATATTATGCATGTTATATACGTGTAAACCTTCCTCTTGAATCACTTCATCTATTGAAGAAATCCGCATCAAAATCCGTTGCATAGTTTTAAAGATCTAAGCATACATAGTGAAAGACAGTGGGAAGTGACTTTGTTTTATACTAGGTATTGATTTATTCTATTTGTCGTTTTCCGGGATTGTTGACTATCGATCATTTTCTCAAAACTTGTTGACACAAATGAATGTAGTACAAGCTTTCGCAAAACGTTGAGAAACTTACTGACATTTATTTTTTTGTAGAAAGGGCATTCATCTGAAGAAGAGCTAGAAGGAGATGAACTAGATGACAGAATTGAAACAAATAAGGCTTCTACACTGAGGACACCATTTCAAGAGTTATCTGGCCATACAGGAGCTGTATCTGCTGCAGAGTGGCTTGCTGGAGCAGATCAAGTGATAACTGCTTCTTGGGATAGACTGGCTATTTTACACGATGTTGAAACCGGTTCGATTTTGACTACACTGACAGGTAAAAAAACCTATATTCTGTCCATCTAAGCAACAGTGTGCTCCAAAACATTATCATACACAGTGCACGTGATCTCCCAGACAAGGCTGCTTGTACAGAGTCGCAGAGTCGCAGTTATAGAAATTTTTTTAGGTGGAGTGTATGGACAGACTTATCAGTACTTGACATTTTAAAAATTTCAAACTNAAGAAGCTTCCTGACTAAGAGCTCCGTGCAAGTGTACCTTTTGATAAAAAAAAAAAGGTTACAATGTACACACCACAGGCGTTAAAACTTAATTGACCACTCAAACATTATAACATGGATTCCCTCCTCCCGATTGCAGTTGAATCTGATTGGCTGGCGTGATCACGCATCTATCTTTGTTTGGGTTATTTTGTTTGTTGGATGGACAGACTTTAGGCAAAAATTAATTTCTCCGAATTCGTAAAATCTTTGTTTTAGGTCATGATCAAGAATTGAATCATACATCTACACATCCAACTCAAAAATTGGCAGTTACATCATCTAGAGATACAACATTCAGGTTGTGGGATTTCAGAGAAGCTGTTCATTCAGTCTCTGTTTTTCAAGGGCATGCAGAGTAAGTTGTTTTCTAAATATTCAGATACTGCTCAATAAGGATAAGTTATAGGGTTTACATGAAAAGTGGCAGAAACAGTATAATGAAAAAATAATACCCTAATAATTAAAAGAGTGATTTCTGCTGAATCTAGTGAATGGTGGCTGAGGCATGATTACGATGTTTTTGGCCAAAAAATTATGAACGAGCAATGATTAGTGAGGTGGTGCATTATTGTGATGCAAAAACCATTCATTGTTTTTCACAATTCCAGACGTTTCCTTTGTATTGCTTCTGGCAAGTGGCGCATAACTTCAAGATAATACTCCTTATTGATCTTACGACTAGGTTGTAAGAGCTCCTAATTCACTACGCCAAAAAAAACCCTGACATCTGATCTTACTTGGTGTGCTCTTTTTAGTTTTGGCTCTCCTGAGCTCTTCCATTGAGACGATTAGACTAATTTCGATGTCATAACCAGATAGCCATGATTCGTAACCAGTTTTGATCCTTTTAAGCAAATCTGGATCCCTGTTGATGTCATTCAACAGTTCCTGAACGATGCTCATGCGAAGTTTTTTTGTCAATTTTTTTATTTTCAATCACATTAAAATTATAAACTGGTTAACTAAAAACTAATAAATCTGGAAAGTAAAGTATTAAAGAAAACTGTTATCAAAAGTTAAATTAAAAGTATCTTCATACTTGAGGTAAAAATGACAGTTTTCTGTTTTTACTCGCACTGGTGAATTCAAAAAGGCATCTGTTATAGTCTATCCATTCCCAATTGGAACGGCAATAAAAATAAGAGTACAGTCATAAACATTTCTTGCCTGTGGCCCCTAGTTGCCTAGATAGTTAGTAAACGTGCTATCAAATGTAGTTGAGGAATAAAGGCTCGGCTAGCTGGACTGGCTGAATACTAATTTTTGTCCGTTTCACAATATTTCTTTATCAGTGCCGTGTGTTCGTGGGGTTAGGTGAGGAAGTGAGTGGTTTTGCAAACCGATTTTTGAAAACTTTTTCTAGAGATCAATTACCCTAACACCAAACTGATTATTTTGCCCTCGACGCGCGTTTCGCTAACAAGGTTAGCATCTTCAGGAGAAGCAAATTGATACTGAATCTAAAGACAAGGGTTAGCTGTTTATATAC